ATGGTTATAGCTGTCATTCATTGCAGTTTCGAGAATGAATCCATGAGTGAATATATTCAATTTCTGAATGAATTATAGCCTTGAAATCGTACAAAGTGTGCTCCCCTATAATCAATGAAAAGCTGTCACTCGTCTTAGTTCATCGCGATCTCGTTTCGTTATAATCAGTGAAGCTGTACACTGCACTATCAACATCTTATTTACATACTATCTACACCCTGTTTGTCATAACGTGAGGATTCGCGAGCGAACAGAACTCAGCATTGAACAAAACTTTTGTGTCTTGAGTGGTGAGTGGATTCTGACTAACTTAAACGCCTCTGATTGGCCATTGTGTACATGAAATCAACAGATGTGTCTGTGATTGGCTACATTGCTCAATGCTGCAAAAACACATTCTAAATAGAAACCTTTGACCAGATATGAAAAGCCCAGCCCCGCACATTGACATGATTGGTTACGACATGTTTGTGACGTTGCATACTGGTTTGGACCAAATCTCTGATATTCTGATCCTTAGAAGTTTAGTGTAGTTCAGCACTTAGAGTTAAGGGTTTGTTTAAATCAACACTAAGTATGAACAAAATGTGGAATATTTGACACTTCATGCACTCAAAGGTCACATCTTTACGTACAGCAGAAGAAGAGCGATTATCAGGACATGATAAAACTTGTCAAGATGGCAGATGTGACTTCTTACAAATGTGAGACAAATGCTTTATCATCACCCTGTTTTGTGATGTGCGTTTCAATATTTTGCACAATATATTGAAAAGTGACGCTTGGACAAACAAGTTAGCTAATGTGCACTATACATCATTTTAGACGCAGTTTGAGCAAAAGTCGCCTGTACAGTCATTGCAGGGTCACGGACAAACATATTGGCACTTTAAATGTGAAGATGGGAGGATGTGAACTCGTACACGCCTGATTATCATCCAAGCGTGTGCAGGTGACCCTGCTCCTGACTCGACTCACAGCTTCATTAAAATGACAGTTCTGTCATGGTGATGAAGTCCACCGGCGAACGAGTGCTGACGAGACCCTTGGGTGAGTGAAAGCCTGGTTCAGAAGCAGTTCGCTCTGTTTGTTGATCTCTCGTTGCCGTGTCTGTTACTCCAAGTGTATTGATGTGTGTGTATGTGAGTGTGTGATGGGTTGAATCCAATCACAAACTCATTTTATGGAGGTAATTTTCTTCAAGGTGACTCAATTCGGCCTTTATATATTGAAGCTAAATGTACTGATGCCACTGTAAAAAAAAATCTCAAACTCAGCACACACTCTCTCTCACACACAGTGCAGTGCTGTAACACACAGATACAGCAGAAAGGATGCCAATCACCCAGCGCTGAGTACCTGTCAAGCGAGGAGTTTTGCCGCAGAGTGATTTCGACAAACCGTAGGAGCGACCCAATCTCACTGCTATACAAATACTATGATGCATACTTGCTTCTGTAACCCGTGAGGGTGTATAGCAAATGTTTTTGGGCATCTGCTAGGGTTGTGGATGCCAGGATAGACTTCTTACCTGAAGAAACGCTCTGCGATCATATCGCTGCTATAACTGAATTATCTCCACAATAGCAGCACTGACTCAGTTATGGCCATGTTGAATAGAATGAACAACAGATAACACTGGTACAGTGGGCTATCTGAAGATTGTGTTTGCCCAAGTCTAAGTGCGTGTGTGTGTGTTTGCCTGCATATTATTCATCGTTATTGGATTTTGGAGGTGTGATGCCACAAGTGATATCAGTGTTTCACTGGCTTGAAATTATTCCTCCACTGGAATTCGACGCACATCTTTCTGGTTATTGACCATGAGCAAATTTAACATGACCACGTTTGGTTTAATTGTTTCTTTGGGTTCTATTTTGCAACAGAATAATAAAGAATAATAGCATCAAAAATACAATAAATATTGCAATATAAAAATAGTTCAACAACAACAGCTAATAATTATTTATGTTATAGCATTTTTATAAAGTTCAAAATAAAATATAATATACTGTAATATACTGAAAATAAGAATAATACAACAGTTAATATTTATTAATTTATTTTGTATGCCATCTTTCTTAAATTCAAATCACAATGTTAAAATTATTCCTATGTCAAGTTATATATATATATATTTAAATTTAAAGTTTTTTTACATTTACATTCCAAAGTTTTCAGAACTTTCAAGAACACAAGTGTTGCATCTTGATTCCATTCTTTCTGCTGCAATACTCAATATAATTTTTAAAGAACCCACAAGCACAGCAGGTAAGTTGGATTTATGATTTGTTTTTTGTTCAAATAGGCCTAGACTTAAAAGATTTGTTTTGCAATTCAGTCCCATTCACCCTGTTCCTATACCCAGCATGCACCAGAGCATGAATCATTAATGTAGTCGCATTTGATCATTTTTATTTACTGTAGGGTTGATTTTGTTGGCGTGTTTATTACTTTTATTCTGCTATACCAGAGAGTTTCTCGTTTGTCATGCATCTGATCTTCAAACAACTAGAAAGAGACCATGTCACACCATTTGAGGTCTCACTCCACTGTCTATCTGTGGTCAAATTCAAGGCTTTGATGACGGCCTTCAGGACTACCACTGGAACAACAACATCCAACCTCATCTCACACCTACAAGTGGATGATCCATTTTGTCTTCTATGAGTGACCAGCACATGGTGGTTCCAACTTAATGAGGTACAACATCAGTTTCCAAAACCTTTACTCTCTCTGTTTTCCCAACAAGCCTTCAACCTCCACCTGACCTGCTGAGACCATCACAACCTTCATGGAACAGCTAAAGACACCTCTGATGTGAGCACTTTAAACCGCCACGGTAAGAAGCAGGTCCTATATAAATTCTGTTCTAGATTCTGTGAGCCTACTCTACTCTCTCTGCGTTTGGGTTGCTGCAAGTATTTATGGCTCTTGTATGATAAATTGCTTGCGGTGTTCTTCATTTGTAAGTTGCTCTGGGTAAAAGCATCCACTAAATGTACAGTATCCATCTTATTTTTTATGTAAAACGGGCATTTGCAACTTGTGCCAGGTTTCCTCTGTTATTTTAGGTCTATTTTTAGCTGTACAAAACAGCTGCTGCTTGATATTAAACTGAGATTTGTTATTTGTTATCATAATGCATTGCAGGAATTCTAAACACGCTGGTTTGTTGCGCAAATAGTTTTACCGTTTGCTGCACGTTTTTATTTTATTCGACCATAGCCCCGCCACATTTTATCACTTCGCTCGCTGTCTTTTGTTTTCCGGTTTGTATTTCCACAGCGTGAAGGTAAGATCTTACGAATTTATGAATGAACCACTTGTTTTAAAATCTTCCCCCGTTGAAAAAAACAGCATATGCTGGTTAGGTATGTTTTGACGCTGGGATGCTAAGCTGGTCCTTTGCTGGTTTAAACAGGTCATTTGCTGGTTTATGCTGGTCCTTTTGCTGGTTTAAGCTAGTCCTTTGCTGGTTTATGCTGGTCCTTTGCTGGTTCATGCTGGTCCTTTGCTGGTTTATGCTGGTCCTTTTGCTGGTTTAAGCTAGTCCTTTGCTGGTTTATGCTGGTCCTTTGCTGGTTCATGCTGGTCCTTTGCTGGTTTATGCTGGTCCTTTTGCTGGTTTAAGCTAGTCCTTTGCTGGTTTATGCTGGTCCTTTGCTGGTTTAAGCTGGTCCTTTGCTGGTTTAAACTGGTCCTTTGCTGGTTTATGCTAGTCCTTTTGCTGGTTTATGCTGGTCCTTTGCTGGTTTAAACAGGTCATTTGCTGGTTTATGCTGGTCCTTTTGCTGGTTTAAGCTAGTCCTTTGCTGGTTTATGCTAGTCCTTTTGCTGGTTTAAGCTAGTCCTTTGCTGGTTTAAGCTGGTCCTTTGCTGGTTTATGCTAGTCCTTTTGCTGGTTTAAGCTAGTCCTTTGCTGGTTTATGCTGGTCCTTTTGCTGGTTTAAGCTAGTCCTTTGCTGGTTTATGCTGGTCCTTTGCCAGCACATGACCAGCATAAACCAGCAAAAGGACCAGCATAAACCAGCAAATGACCAGCTTAAACCAGCATCCCAGCGTCAAAACATACCTAACCAGCATATGCTGTTTTTTTCAACAGGCCCGGTCTACTGACATTTGTTATTAGCTACAGTGCACTCGATAACTTTGGTTAACTCCACAATAAATAAATCCACTTAACCAGCTAATTACTCTTCAACAGTGATGCTATAAGTGCCGCAAAAATGGATGTTCAAAGACAAAATTATAAAGATGCCTGCGCACTTTATTTCTCTAACGCACAAGGTCTAGAGCGGCTAATGAATCGGAAGTCTCGCACATTCACAGAAAATAACTCACTTTCCCGTTGCAAAATAAATTGGGTATTACAGGTTCACTGAAAAGCTCTATTGAAAATGAATGGTGTCCGGTTTCTGTGGATCACTGAGTGCAATGGCTCTTGTAAACTAACTTTTGATTACGGTCTGAACTTTGTGGAATTTTTTTTAATGTGCATTGCGTAAAATGAAATCTTTGGTAATGTTCATATTTATGGTAATTGCATGTATAAAATGTACCACGTGGTAACATTTAAATTGACTTGTTTTATTATTAAGTAAAATTATGATTTAATATGTCTCAACCTGATGACATTAAGATATAGCAACGAAAATCATGTTTAGTGGCAGATCAGGTGCATTTTCACTTTTTACACTTTAGTTTGGTATCATCCAGATCGCAAAATCGTCTATTTCAGAAGAAGATCCGTCGTTTAATCCGGTCCTAGTGTTCGCAGTAGCCGGTGGAGGGCAGAGGCGGGCAGCTGCATGCGGGTTAAACCGAGAAACGGGACTCACGCTGCTCATATTCGGCGAGCGCCGAGCGCACATGCATACAGCTGGATGCTGGATGCTGAAAACCAGATCTCTAGCTCCTCTGAACGCATCCAGAGAGAGAAAAGCAGCACAAACACACATAGCCATACAGTGAATGAGTGTGCGTTCTCAACTAATGACCAACTCATGCAGAGGAGTGTGAGCGCGTCTTTGGAGAGCGCGATTATATGAGAGCTAGAGGGCGGCGGCGCATAGCTCCGCACCTCCGTTACCGCTCCAGTCCTGGGATCTTCTCCTGATCTCTCCGTTAGGAGCACACGCAGAATTTGGGACGCGTAACGGCGTCGGTCCTCCGTTCACCACCACAGCAGCTCCTCCAAAACGGCCGAAGCAAACCGAGGAAGGAACGAATATTCCGCGCTGAGGAGTTTCCAAACTCCGAAGTCATGGGGAAAAACGGACGCCAGAGATTTAGATTGGGATTAGTGCTTCTCTTTCTATGGGTTCTGCTGCAAATAGTTGACGCGCAAGGTAAGACCACTTTCCAGTTAGAGATATTTTAATGTCTTGCTGAAAGTTTATTTTATTGAATTGCATTCTATGTTACACATTGCGATTATCATTTATCCTATTCACATCACCGGAACGTTATATTAACAGTTTTATTTGATTTCTCTCTTTTTTGTTTGTCGCAGATTTTTGTGCGTGTTGATGCTTTGGCAATTTTATATGCAAAACCGCATGCTACTGTGAAGTCCTTTGAAATTGAAATTGAGACCTGATCTTGTTTGGAGGTCTGATTTGAAATTTGAGACCGCAAAGCCACAGTAATGGCTTAGGAGTAGCCTAACACCGACCATTTAATAGGCTACGTAAGGATTGTCTGTTTTTTTCTGTATTTTTTTTTTTTAAAGCATGGTCTGCTGTCAGAATTTAGATTTGGGGGAGATTATTATTAAATGAGAAAGTTTTGTGCTGGGCACGAATTATTCATTGACTTTTATTCGTTGACTTTTTCTGTCAGTTGTCGTGGCTGGCGTGGAATCGGTCGAGGTTCTTCACGAGCCCAATTAACTAACCGTCTTAAGTAGGCTACATTTACAAAATATATTTGTGGAATATTTGCAATCCGTAAAAATTCTATATGTAGGCTAATTATTGACAACATGCTGAAGTTTTCGCAATGTATTGTCTGATTTGGATCTGATCGACTGGAAACATTAGCGACCTACTCAGGCGAAAGCGACTTCGGGATCATTTATTTAGCGCGCTTTATTAAAGGGGTCATATGATGCGATTTCAAGTTTTCCTTTCTCTTTGGAGTGTTACAAGCTGTCCGTGAATAGATAAGATCCCTAAAGTTACAAAGACTAAAGTCTCAAACCCAAAGAGATATTCTTTATCGAAGTTAAGACTGGTCCAACCCCTCCTAGAACGCCTCGTTTAAACACGCCCCCACATGTCTACATCACTATGTGGGAAGATTTGCATAGCGCCGCCCAAATGTTCACGCAAAGAAAGAAGGCGTAACTTTATTGCTGCCACCGCCGCCCCCATGTTGTGAAGACGCTGTGTGTTTCGTTGCGAAAGCGAAAATACTTTGTTTGGTCTTCCAAAAGAGGACACGACTAGAAATCAGTGGTTAAGTTGTATTTACAACACTGTTCCAGAACACTTCAACCCAAATATTCAGACATGTGCACTGTGCAGCGCATTTTACGGACTGTTTCCTGATCCTGGGAGAGTAGACTACAATGCCGTCTGTTCTAACTCACAGACTGTAAGTACGTTTTCATATTTAAAGAATTTGCTCACTGATGATTCAAACGCGAGTTTTAAGCAGTCTAGACCAGTGTTTCCCAACCGGGGTGCCGTGTAAAAAAAATATTTTTTAAATATTTTTAAATTGCTAAAATGTTCAAAAAAGCATCTATTATATAATATCCATTTCTGATGTCGCCAATAATTAGAGATGCACCGAAATTTCGGCTGCCGAAAATTAGTTCAGCGCTCAGGTTTCACTTTCACGTGGTGTGACGCTCTGCGTATTATCCCGCTCTATGCGTGTGCGCTCCGCTCAGTCGCTCCACTCGTGCTCACGTGTTCTGATAATAATAGCTTTCTAGGACTAAACATTATTTATATAATTGGTATAAAAAAATAAATAAATGTTAAATATCTTAACCCTACTGTTAGACCTACCTGAAAAACTAAAAAGCTATTTATTTAATTCGAAGGCCTGTCGTTATTTTTTATTTGTGCTATCATTATTAATTTCTTTATTTGTTCTTATTTTATTACTGACTGCTTACATGTAATTTTTTATTCAATTCAAAGTTTGAAATCAAGCTATCTCGTGCTACTGCACCAAAATTACCCCACTGTAAAATAAAAATGTGAGCAAAAATTTGTGAGATAGCTAGTTATAATGGTAATTAAATAATGTTTACATACAGTATGTATAAAAGCCTACATTAAAATGTCATATAAATTGTTCTCTTCGTTAGAAATTAGCCTACTGATTGCCACCATTGATGGACAAAATTTTTTAATAATATTAAAAATATCTGTATGACATTTTACACAAGCTTCAGTCTGGATCCAGAACACCTGAGAAGAGATGATGCCAACCCCTCAGAGGACCTCAGATGATGCCAACCCTGAAACAACATACAGAACTACCACATTTTGCTATAAGTTTGATTACATCATATAATAATTGCTGTTAATAGTGTCGTCTGTTTGATTACGTCTTTAATTAATTTTTTTTCTGTACAGTTATGCCATATGTACATTAACTGACTTATCACCATTGATAAGCTACCACTAAATATTGTAGAAACTTAATTTGCTGTAAAGTTGCCTTGCAACGATTTGTATCGTGAAAAGCGCTATACAAATAAACTTGAATTGAAATTATATTCTGCAGTTCTTCACTGTTGTACCAAATATCTATACTTTTTCAAATTATCATATCGAATTTAGAAATTCAAATATTGTGACAAAATTAATTTTGTAGGGTGCCACAAGTTTGTTAAAATTTCCAAAGGGTGCCACGACTAAAAAAAGTTTGGGAAGCACTGGTCTAGACAAGCGCTTGTTGTTTGTAATTTCTCCGATCAGAAATGCAGACATGGTTTTATGTTTACGCGGCGCGATGCAACGCAATGCCTAAAAAGACAGTATAAATCATTATAATCCGTAATGATGTCCTCACTGGATGCAACGAATGCCTCGTTTATAATGGGTTTTATTGTTTTTGTCTCGTCGCTCCGGCCGGACAGGGCATCACAGTATGGTAAGGGGCGTAACATTTCCGTCACACGCTTGAGGAATTCGGCCAATCACAACGCACTGGATAGCTGGCCAATCACAGCACACCTCGCTTTTCAGACCGATGAGCTTTGTAAAAATTCACGCGTTTCAGAAAGGAGGGGGATAGAGGAGAAACAATAATGTACAGTATGTGGAAAATAATGTTTTTTGAACCGCATAAACACATTTCATTACACCAAATACACAAAATAATGTTCTTTTTAGCAACATCATATGACCCCTTTAACTTGTAATGTGACTTTTGTTGGTACTGAAATGTTGTCTCTGCAAAACTGGTTCGGTACATTATTTGATCGTTTCTCCCGATGGATATGTTATTTATGAAGAATGCATTTAAAAAAAAATTTTTTTAAGTATCCAGCGGGAAATTCTGCTGAAAAGCTCCAGTATCTCAGGGCCAGTTTTTCCATTTGTGTTTTAACCGATTCTTCAATATCCAGTTAATATTTTTAAAAGTTAGTATTGCATTTTGACAAATATATATAGACCATTAAAAATATTTTTTTAGATTTATAGTAGTAGTATATTAATTTATGGTATATTTACATTTTAAGTTTACATTGAAACATGTTTGTTGAAGGTGTTATTTGACTATGTTGTGCTGATTTTATAATAGTGTTTTTATTCATTGGCAGTCAAGATGATTGTTCACTGCACTCAAAAATGAATATTCTTTCATATAATTTTCTCACCCTCATGTCAGTTTTTAAGTATCCAGCGGGAAATTCTGCTGAAAAGCTCCAGTATCTCAGGGCCAGTTTTTCCATTTGTGTTTTAACCGATTCTTCAATAATCCAGTTAATATTTTTAAAAGTTAGTATTGCATTTTGACAAATATATATAGACCATTAAAAATATTTTTTTAGATTTATAGTAGTAGTATATTAATTTATGGTATATTTACATTTTAAGTTTACATTGAAACATGTTTGTTGAAGGTGTTATTTGACTATGTTGTGCTGATTTTATAATAGTGTTTTTATTCATTGGCAGTCAAGATGATTGTTCACTGCACTCAAAAATGAATATTCTTTCATATAATTTTCTCACCCTCATGTCATTCCAAACCCTTATGACTCTCTTCCATGGCACATACGATGTCTCTGCCAAGTGCCATCCTTGATATGTGCCAAGTCTGAACAGGCACAAGCACAAATGGAAATTGAGAGCTGTGGTGGAGGATGACATTTCATTGAACAACAACTTCAGTTTTGGACTGTTCACCAGATAAATCTGAGTATGACAGAATAAATAATACATTTCCAATATATGGAAAAAAGCAGGAAAGAGACTACAGGTTGCATGGAATAAAAAAAGGTGTATACTGTATGTTCGAAATGACATGAGGGTGAGAAAACTATTCCTATCTTTTCTGCATTTTATCTTTCTCTTTACATTTTTAGGTATGCGATGATGCAATTTTGCTCTCGTTTTAAGATTTACAGGAAGATCTGTTCTAAATTTTGCATTCATCACTCTATTATAACGATGCAAAGCATTTTTCCATTTCCCTCTGTGTGAATGTGTGCTGTAATGTTGAATTATGAAATTAGAGAGTGTCTGTCTTCTGCCTCTGTCTTTGCAGAGTGTTTTATGAGTCCGTAATGGAATAAGGGTTCATATGTGACTCCAGTCTGCTGAAGAGCAGGACATTGTTAGTGGAGTGAGGTTTCTAAGTCACTTTAAGGAGACAAGACAAAGTGGGAATGACTCAGTTTGTATGCCACGTGTGTGTGTTTGTGTGCTTAGGGTAAGTGGTGGCCATCAGCTCGGAGACACAAGAAACCCAACAGCCCATTAAAAAGCCATTAGCTAAAGCCGTCTCTCTTGCTGCCGAGTTTGTGTTGTGTGTCAAACAAACAGCAGGGCAGAGCACAGAGAGAGAATTTTTTTGTAACATTATAAATGTCTTTACGGTCACTTTTGATCAATTTAAGCCATCCTTTCTAAATAAAAGAACAGTAATGCATATAGACCACGACTATATATATGTATACAGTCGTGGTCAGAATTATTGGCACCCTTGGTAAATATGATCAAAGAAGGCTGGGAAAATAAATCTGCATTAATCATTTTGATATTTTATTTTTTTTAAATTCACATAAATCTAACCTTTCATTGGAGAATAAGACGCAGGGTCAGAAAACTTTAAAAAAAATAAAATAAATCAAGCAGCACCTACATCGCCACATGTT